AAAAAAAAAAATTCTCAGGCTCTCCCCAAGACCCAGTGATTTGGAGACTCTGGGGTGGGACCTAGCAGTCAGTGCAGCTTCAAGCCTTCTAGATGACCCCAGTGCACACTCAATCCTGAGAACACTGGTTTAGATAATTACTCAGCTATTTCCTGAATAGAATTTTCAGTCTCTGTGACCTCTGGCAGCAATTGCAGAGCCAGAAAGAAAACAGAAGTGGTTACACATAGTTTTACAATGCCAGGAGGTGGAAGTTGATAAGCCTTAACATCCCCAAAATAAAACATTATTATTATTATTATTATTATTATTATTATTATTATTATTATTATTATTACTATTATCATTATATCATCATCATCATCATCATCATCATCAAACAACCTTTTGTATTATGTTCCCCAAGAAACTCCCAGGAGCAAATCAAGATCAGTTTACCCTTTGGAAGCCACGCTGGATGATAGATAGAGAGCTTAGGGGCAGACGCAGCATTCTCTGTGCTGCAGGATATGTTATTCAGTAGATGGGACATCTGTGAAGGTCAGTGCAGAAGCGACTGGTGAACCTGGTCCACACCCAGGCTCCTCCACTTCCTGCCTGTGTGAATTTTGAGTGAGTGGTTCAACTTCTCTGGGGCTCAGCTACCTCATCTGTGAAAGGGACCCACTACTTTCTACTTCCCTAGTGTGGGAATCAGTACATTGTTGTCCAATGGATTCACTGCTAAATGAGTGTATTTGTCAGTGGGACAAGATGCTCATCAAATAGGATAACATCTTAGTGTTCAGAGCATTAAACTTCTCTGATCTGTAAAACTAACAGGAGAAGAGGAGCTAACCCCTCGGTAGCACCAGAAATAGGAGCTATTGCCATATTAAGGGCTAAGAAAACTTGGCTCTCAGCATTTTTAGAGGAAATACAGCTTTGCACGACAGCGGCTCCTATGGCTTCCTTAAAGGTAGGGATGTTGGGATGCTATGCTCTGTATGGCTCCGATAAGCAGCTAGACCCATCCAAAGTGAATAATTTAGATTTTTCTTTGTGATATTTTTCAGCCTCTGGCATCTTATTAAGGCTTAGGCCATGGGCTGTGACATTTCTGAGAAAGGTGGGGGATTCTACATGCAATATAAATAGGACTTCTGGTGGGCAATATGCTCTCAAATGGGAGAAAAATCAAGATAAGATTCTGCAGAGGTGATGATTTATTCCCATCTTGTGTATGGTCATTTCCAATTCTCTTTTTAATGGAAGCTTCATACTTAATCAATAGTGGTTTGGGTAGCACCCGCCACCTACGGTAATATATGAAATGGTGTTGTCATCATTTTGATCATTGATTTTTTTTTTTATAGCAGCTTTTGGGACTCACTAGCTTGTGAAATTAATATAGTCATTATTGAGGCAATCTGATAGGTAATGAGTCACTCGTGTCTTTATTTCAATGAGGCTAATTGTCTCGCTGGCCCTGGCTGATAGCAAGTGTTCTTTCTATAAAGCGGTAGAGGGTTGAAGAACAGAGTATGTACCAATTGGGTGTGCTCCTTTTCATTCCTCTACTGAGAAAAGGCTCACAATGAGATTGGCCCAGTGATCTTCATTACTGAAAATAGGTTTAGGATAATGGAGAATCGATTGAGACCCTTTGTTCCAGCTGGAATTAAATTGCAATTGAACCTCAAACTGCAGATGTTTGTATCCTAATAAGTGAGCCTTATGTCAGCAGAGAGAATGGCTACAAGAGATAAGCTGGAGGTCCTGGGTTCGAGTCTTGTCTCTTTGATGATCACTGGCTATGTGAACTTCAGTCAATTACATAGCTGATACCTCATAGGGCTGTTTGAAGTATTAAAAGGGAGGCTGGGGATTTAGCCCAGTGGCACACTGCCTGCCTGGCAAGCACAAGGTCATGAGTTTGATTCCCAGTACCAAAACAAAAGAGAAAAGAAATATTAAAAGGGACAAGAGAGGAAGGACTTTGAAAAATGTAGCTGTCATCCAAATGTTAATTACATGCAGTGATAGTTATGGGTTTAGCTAGGCATGGCGGTGCCTGCCTGTAATCCCAGCACTTGGGAGGTTGAGGCAGGAGGATCATTGTGAGTTTGAGGCCAGCCTGGGCCACATAAGTGAGTTCAAGGCCAGCCTGAACTGCATAGTGAGACCCTATCTCAAAAAGACAAAAATTAAAACAAAATTAAATTTTAAAAAACCCAATTATGGGTTTGTCTGGAGTCAGAAGGAAATAAATCCTGGTGTTGCTATTTGCTAGTGGAGGATTGCAGGGAAATGTTTTTCTTAGCTTTAGTTTCTCCTGCCATAGAATGGACGACTCACAATAACTAGCCTGTAGGGTTGTGTAGATAAAGTGCTTTCCCTATACGTTAAGTGCTTGTTTAGTTCTGAAGCTGAATTGAGCTCTATCAATTGAGATAGAGCTACCTACCCAGCACCTCAGAGAAACTGACACCTTTGGGGTTCTGAGCCACATGGACAAAGAAATACACAGGACTGTTCTTAGACGTGTCATGGAGTCATCTGAAAAGTGACTTGTCGCTTTGTCACTCAAACCCCACCATTAGAATTTTTCCCTTTGCCTACAAGGATGAGAGAGCAGATGGACCGGACTGTAGGTTCCCTATCCACATTGGCTGGGACAGACCTGCCCAGAAGCTTCAGGTTCCCTTAGAAAAACTTTGAACCCAAATCCCCAGGACTCTCTGCCTTCATCTTTTGCTGACAGGCAGCCCTGGGTTCCCTCACTTCCTTGGTCCCTGTGGTCTGTTCACAGGCAGCTCTGTAGGGTGCTGAGCAGGCATTGATCACAGCGCTGCTGAGGCGATCACGATCATCCATTATTGATGAACCCAGCCTGGCAAGCAGCCAGGTACCATGAGCTGTTTTCTGCTGCTGTTTGAGCAGCTCCCTATGGGGGCACCAGCCACCATCCCCTTCTCCAGCCAGGAGGGCTGCTTTTGCTTCTCTCCTGTATCTGCCCCTCCTTACAAAGATGTTGCTGTCTCTGATCACCCAGGGCACTTATAATAAACAATGCACATTCTGCTGCCTGGCCCCAAACCCACTGATTGGGCCTTGCCAGAGATGAGACCTGGAAACTTGCATTCTTAGTCTCCCCAGGTGATTCTCATGCACAGAGGAGATCAGGAATATCTGTCCTAGGCATGGTTCTCAAAGTAAGATGCACATAGGTTCCCTAATCCTTGGGTTAAAATGCACATTCTGACCCAGTAGGTCAGGAGAGGGTCTGATGTTCTGCATTCCAAACCTGCTCCTAGGTGGTGTTCACACTGCCGGTCCATGAACCACCCTGAGCATTCAGGGACTGCAGGAAGGGAAACGGGAGACACCAGGGGACAAAATGCCTTGATATTTAGACTCTCATCAGAGGTCAGCTGCCAACAAATATTGCAGTGGATGCAAGCGAAGTGGGGTCTGTGTTGCAAGCTCCTGCCACTCTTGATGACCCTACAGAGCAGAGGAGTCACCTGCAGCCTTCCCTTCTCCTAGGTCTTCCTCAAGGCAGGTGTGGTCTCCAGGCTGGAGAAGCAGCGAGAGAAGCTGGTGTCTCGGAACATCGTTCTGTTCCAGGCGGTGTGCAAGGGCTTTCTGTCTCGCCAGGAATTCAAGAAGCTGAAGGTAGTGTTGACATGGATCCCATGAGTGTAGGGTGAGCACAAGCGCTATGCATCTCCCAGGACAATCCCAATGATGCCGGCCCAGGGAGCACCGAGATGCTTCCCAACATGTGATCTTTGTCTCTAGGACATGACCTCAAATTACCAAGGGTGTCGGCTTTGGTTTAGGTATCCATGAGCTTGTCCAAGCCCTCCTGGGCCAATTTATGATTTCACCCTGTCCCAGCTCTGGAGAAAATCACTTTCAAGGGTCAGCAGGTCACTAAAGTCTTTGGGATCAAAGGACAAGCTGAGGTGGCAGTTCTGAGTTATTGTGGGTGATCTCTGGAGACTGAATTTGTCCTCTACAGCTTGCACAGTGGGGAGAAAGCAACATGGTTGTGTTTTCAGGACAGACAGGATCTGTGTGTCAGTCTCACCTCTAGCTCTTAGCAGGTGGGTAAAGGTGAGACGAGATAATGGTAAATGTGTCAATGAATCCTAGCTGCTATTTCCTTGATATTGTTGTTATTATTAATGACAACGACTCCTGGAATAGAATCTTTCCATTATGCATGCCTCCAGAGTATGTGCATTTGTGAATTCAAGTATATGCACTTGGCAAAACAGGAAAAGGTGAGAACATTAATAATCAAAATATTTTGGGCAGCCCCACTGACCCACTGTGAGCGGCTACCTTATGCCTTGCATTGATTTATGTGAAGGTGTGATCAAAACCTGCTTCCTCCATCTACCTCCTGTCCCCCCTTATCCTGTCCTGGGTTGGGGGGTATCTCATATCTCTATCCCACCCCCTCCAGATTCGCCGGCTGGCTGCGCAGTGCATTCAGAAGAATGTGGCTGCGTTCCTGGTGGTCAAGGACTGGCCGTGGTGGCAGCTCTTCGGCTCCCTCCGTCCCCTGCTCAGTGCCACCATTGGGAATGAGCAGCTCCAAGCGAAGGAGGTCAGTCTGTGCTGCAGGCAGGTCTCTGGGTGGTGACTTCCTCCCCAGCCCTCACCTTAGTGCTTGCATCCGGGATCTAGGGCCCCAGCCCTGACTGTTCCTAATCCAGGAATGCTCAGCCTAGCAGGCCTCCATGCTCCCTTCTGAGTACTCCGGTCGACAGATCACCCTCCACCCTCCATCCCACCCCAGCTGCTCTGCGGGTGAGGTGTGCAGGTGGAACACATTAGTGCCACCCCAGGTGTGGTGCAGGAGCATGCACTGCTCATCCCAGAGAGGCTCATGAGTGGAAGCTTTGAGCCTTTTATTTTCTTACCTTTCAGAAACCACTTCCCTTCTTGTCCCTTCTACCCTGTTACCAACTACGTTTCATAGATAACTGTTTTG